ATACTAGAGCATTCGCCAAGGTACAGGATAGTTCTAGAAACGTGGCGTCACAGTAATCATGTGACTCGCTGACGCAACAATATGTTACTACTCGCCAGCCTCTTCAAGTTAACTAAACGTATTTTTTACACTATTCTTTACAAATGCTTCTCATGTACTCTCTCACCTTACCAAGTTACTACCCTTGTTAGTTACGCTGTTTTATGTTTTCTTAAAGACTCCTCTCTACCTGACAAAATCTGAATTTTTCTCCCCTTTTGATCACATGAATAGTAACATTGTTCATTTTCTTAATAAGTGAATCTTGGTACACATGAATCACATATGATTTTAAAAATACCATACCATTTTCAGAAGATCTTTGTATCAGTAGGAGTACCTGAATATTGCTTGTTCCTGACACATGCATGAGTTAGCGGTACCGATATCATTTAAAGTTTTGGTGTGAACAACTAATTTTTCATATGAGAACTTTAAGATTATTACAGTTTGTAAGTGTATTTAATACACGACTAATGAAATAACATAGGTTTTGAATGTAAGGTCTACAGTAGTTAAATGATTATCATTAACTTCACATTATATATACTACATATATAGTTTTAGTAAAACTAAGAAAGACATAACAGAAACTACGTCTGACTACAGATGAGTGAATTTTACATGTACCAACTACCATTACCGTTAGGCACTTTTGTATCACTTTGTTAATAAGATTTTGAAATGACAATTATCTTAACATCTTGGTGGTAGAAAGTAGTCCGCAGAACGGAAATAAGTTTTGTGTCAAATACTATGTAAAATACAAAGGCCTCCGTTAAACTTAAAATATGTAGTGCTAACGATATACGTGAAAGAAATCAAGAAATGAAGGTCGATCATCGTGCAGGAACTTCTCCATTCACTTAACAAACTTAATGTTTGATAAATAGTGGGAATGAACGATAGTTGATCGCCCAATAATAGCTGAAAGGTTTATCGTAGAACTAGGATGGAGGAAATTGGAAAAGAGAACCAAACAAATGGAAGACGTTTCTCTGGTAAGACTAACTCAGTAACTGTCGAGGTTAGCACTTGACACCTGAGTTCAAAGTTCTGTAATTTGTGGTTAAAACACACTGAAGTGAAATTTAATCAAGACAACCGAAACAAATATGAAAGTCAAGTCTGTATAGCTCAGCGCAGTCGTATTATATTAATAATAAATAATAGTATGGTATCTATTCAAAATAATTTAACACCAAAAACCACGTCTAGAAATAGCATGATAAAATATAAACTACATAGTTGAGCGTAGTACTAGTAGGCCTAACTCAAACTAACTGTGAGTGTTATTACTTTGTTGTACTAATTGTAATACTGATAGTCACCGTCTAAGCCCCACAAATACATAGAAGTAGTGAGGAACGTAGGTGATCGTACTACTCGTAGCTTTGTAAGTGATATTGTTGCAGGATTTTTCTTGACCTAGGCCGTTGGCTTCCAAAGTTCAAAACTTATTGGGCCTGATACTGATCTTTGTATCCCAATCTCTTTGAAGCCAGGTATCATTCATTTGGGTTCCAGTTAGTTCTAGTATTCAAGCAGTAGCATAAAAAATCATATTTGATAAGTTGATATCTACTGTATGTAGTTGTGCTGCTAGGAAAAGAAAATTCTACGTATCTCTTTCTTCCAAATGTAATTCTAATCAAAAGTATATTGTAATCTCTTTTAATTTAACTACCTCATTTTATGAAGCCAGTTTGTAAATTTTTTATGAAGATGTCTTCTGAAAATGCAATTTAACTATCATCTCTTATTTATATTATTCTAAATGATTTATTTTGCCAATAAATAATTTTATTTTTAAACAAGTTATAGTTTTTATAGAGAAAAAATTGGAGGTTTGTTTGATCCCATCCCAGTACTTGTGTGTTGCATAACTGATTTTATAATTTAGTGAGAAAGTTGAGGGAAAAAACACTTATACTTTTATAGCTGGTCAAAAACATCTAGATTACCCTGCACCCAAACCATGCAGATCCAGAGAGTGCCTCTGTATAAAAACAGGAAAACCAATATTTTACATGTCAAAGATAAAGAAAACAAAAAAAAACATTTATTTGGAGTATTCAGTAAAAAATTATGAGTCATTAAGTACAAATCTGGGAAAAAAAATTGCACTGGTAATAATAGTGCTAGAAATAACGTAAAGTGAGAAAACAACATAAATTTCCTTGCAAATTCAGAAACAAATACAGTAAGATTGTATGTTTAGGATTTCTGTGTATTAGTCTAGCCATATACACTAATTTTATATTACATTTTAGAAGAAATTTTTGTAAAAGCATTTAGAAACCTGTTTCTCAATATTGAAAAATTCATTTTTCATGCAGTAGCTAAAGTCACTAAACTCCCCAGACCCTTCCAAGTAAGGAAAACTGCTAAAAATGTATTAGCTATTCCAAAAATTGTGGTATCATCAGGGAGTTCATAAATATTACAGCCCAAGAAGTTCATTGACGTGATAATGACTTCTAAACAAAGCTTCCAGAGTAGACTTCTAATAGAATTTACTATAGTTTTCCAATCTGAACAAATAGCTCTTTACATGTATCACAGACATCTTGCAAATGTAAACTAATAAATGGGCAGATGAAAGAAAATGATTGAAAAATACAACCAGAAGGCCTGTATGTGCATCTTGATACAGCTTGTAGTTTTCAAGAATTTCCTTTGACCCCTTCTTTCAGAGAACAGGGACTGTATTTCATTTTTCTGATCATTAGAAATATCCTCAATGTCTAATGATATTCAAATGTTCTTTAACCTTTTCAGAATGTATAAATTACCTAGGATACATAAGGGATATATTTGTTTTAACAGTACCAAAAGGTTAAAAGTCTCAAGACTTTTGCAGTAAATTTCACCAGAACCTGGAGATTTATTTATTTATTTTTGAAACATCCAAATTTTCATAAACTTTTTCCTTAATCTGGTCTGTGGAATAATCAAATTTAAGTACTAACCATGGTTAAGTAAACTGGAAAAATCCACTTACCCAGATATGAATGCTACTTGCTTGAAAATTCATTATTAAATTCAAATAAGAAATTTTATATTTTTGTGCTTTTTGTAATAGTTAGTAGTCAAGGGTTACTTACAAAGTATGTTGTGAGGGTACAGTTTAAATAATATTTTATGCATAGAGCATATGTAGTCTTTGTCCAATTAAGATTTGCATTTATTTGATAGTTAGCCATTGTTATCTTTGACTGACAGTTATGACTGTTGAAAACATTTATCAAGCATTCCTGTTATTATTATGGCTATGCAAACAAGGCATTAGACAATGACATGGCTAATGTAATAACAAATGCAATTAGTATATTGAGACACATGACAGTAAAATAGACTAATCAAATTAAGTAAGAAAGCTTGCAAGTCATCATGATAGGCCTGGAATCAGCATATTTAACCCTATGAGCATGGGTGGGGTCAAAGTGTGCATACACGACCTTGTACACATTTTAATTTAACATGGTATTACAAATTTGATGTTATAGTCATCAACTTTTTATTTATCATGATCATTCATTTTTGAATAGAAAAAATACCAGACAAAAGATACAGTGATACTGAAAAAAACTGTATATACATGTGTGTATTTAAATGGTTCCGGTGTTAATACAATATGCAAACTGTATGATGGAAAAAAAAAGTATTTTTATTCTTCACATGGGCATCACCTTGCACTCTGACTTGTCATAGTTAAGTGAGACATACTTCAACAATTCACATTCATATCTTTAGTACAAATACTTTATTAACACAACTGATTTTTGTTTACTACAGACTTGTACTGTTTACAAAAAGCTTGTCACATATCGTGAAGGTACACATAGTGAATTCTGAATTATAGATAAAATTACTTATCCAATACAGGTTCAGTCCAATTGTCACTCCAAATGCACTTTTCATGCATTCACAGGTAACACAAATGAAAAAACACATGCTTTGGACACTTGAGTAAAACCCAAATTTCATTGGATCATTCCACCTAATTTGTTTAAATATGCTAATTCCATTTGCTTTAATCATCAGTTCATGTCAGTTAACATGGCACGAGAAGATCAATGTACATTACTGGTCTACAGTGTAATTAAAATTATTCATTTAACATAGTAAACATTGCTAAAGACCTGTTAAAGTACGATTATTTTTTTTTTTAGGCCTACATGTATGTGTAGACAGTATAAAACTAAGCATAATATATTAGAACATCCTTATGTATCAGGATAGTTGACTGTTTAAATAATGGTTTAACACAAGATTTGAGATAGGAAAGGGAAGGTGTAGATATAAAATTACTTAAAAAATAACAGTATAGAAGTTTGTCATTAGAAATACCTTATTACATACTTAAACTGAAAGTAATAATTGAACAAAATGAACAGAAGCTTAAATAAACTCACAAGGTCTCTTGGTTTCTTTTCACACAATGTCTGGATGTACAGCAGGATTCACTGTAGGACATTTAGACTTTGTACCTTTAACTTTGTATCTAAACTAGTTATGTGTTTGTTCTTAGTTTACTGCCATGTATATGTTTGTAATATTTACCCTGTGAGCTTTAGTCTGTTTATAGGTACAATATATGCCATTGGTGCTTGTGACTCTTATCTGGTTTCTTTTTCCTGTACGTGTATACCTAGGCGGTTCTACAAACAGTGATAGTGTTCCAGACAACCACGACTGTGATTATGAACCTGCTTTAGAGTTTGATGATACTGAATTAGTGCAGGCAGCAAACTCAGGTAAGATTTTGAAGCCTAAAAATTTGATATTTTGTCATACATGCTCATGATAATGTGAGAAGTGTTTGTATCTTTCAGATCATTAGAGTATTAGGATGCAACTTGTGTCACTGATCTTAACATTAATTATTAGGATGCTGAATGGAAGTTTAGAAGTTGCACATTGTCAAACATCTATACTTATGTTATTTGAGATTTAACAAATTTTGATATATTTTTATACAAATTCCCTACATGTCCCAGTTGATTCTTCAATACAGAGACAGAAATGGACAAGCAAGCAGAATCAAATACTGATGATGATTATCAGTACCTTGAATCACCTTTATCTGATGGACTTATGGACGAAAACTTTGAAGAAGCTTTAGCTAATAGAGGAATAGATGACGATGATGATATGAATGATTTTTCAGATATTGCCAAATATGGTATTGTAGAAGTTGCTGGTATGTCTATAGATTATTAAAACACATAATATTATTCATTTATTCTATCACATTTTATGGTTATTCAATTTGTTTTTTTATGTATATGTGTAAGTAACTATATATCACACTTGTGGGACACCATTATAGAATAAAATACTTTAAGTCTAGTTATAAGATGTTTAAACATATTTTCACCTCATAGGTTGATTTTTATTGTCATTCAAAATGAAAACTACTAGAAATACTATAGAAACAGTACTTTATATTATAGTGCAATAGGAGCACAAGTTTTTCTGGTATGCTTTGTATAGCAAAAGGGTTACTGAATTCTCTTTTAAGCTGAAAGTAGCATGCATGCCAGATGTCTGTACTGGCTTTTTAATATTTTAGATGTAAGTTTAGTTAACTTGAATTTTTACGTTGTTAGGATTAAAATTTATTTTAAACAGGCACTTAGTTACTCTAAAATGCACTTCCATCCACCTCCCCACAACTGGGTGATACATGGTTTTCCATTATGACTGCAACTAAGAAATCTGAGTTATGGTGAGGAAGCAGAACTTATGTACGTTGTCATGATGCCTATACAATAAGTCATGTGCGAGAATAGAGAATTCTGAGTAAGTTGGTACATGCTCTACATTGAATTGAGGCATTCAGAACTTTGAGTCATGTGGTTGTTGATAAAATGAGTGCAACTCAACAACAAAGGGCTATTAATATTTTAGAAATAAATATCTGGTTGAAATTCACTTTGACCCTCTAACAGGCTAACAAAATTGCAAAAATTAATGATGCTTTAAATTATGAAAAATTTTATGGACAAGCTTGTCATTGAGTTAAAGGTTATGAGTGTTAATGCTATCATTCAAATCATTTGCAACACATTTACAAAAACTTTAATGTTTAAAGACTTTAGATACAAGATGCTTGAATAGTATGATTAGAATAGTTGGCCAGAAACTCTTATAAGAGTATTAATATCAAAATTAAAATAATATTGTAATAAACAAGAATGGTTCACTGTACCCATTAAAACAAATGACCCAACACTCAGGCAGTAATAGGTGAGGCCTTGTTCCTACATTAATCATAACAGTGCCTTATGCATATCAACAGCCATGTTGACACTGTGCTTTAAATAGTCCCATGTTGTATTGGTGAATATTTTATGAAGCCTATGTGTTAATATTTCTGAAAAATTTATTTACAAAAAAAAAATTTGTTGTGAATGTCAGCCCTACTGTTTTATGTTATAAAATTTGTGAAATAGGTGATATGTTAAATAACTCTTTATCTTAATCATATAGTACAAGCATCTTATCTTGTATCTAAAGTCTATGAACACTGAAATTTTTGTAAATTTGTTGCAAATGATTTGAAGGATAGGATTAACACATAACTTTTAACTCAGTGGTGAACTTATGCATAAGATTTTTCATAATTGAAAGTGTTATTAATTTTTGCAATTTTGCTAGCTTGTAAGATTTAAAAAAAGCTACAGTTCTTATTGTGTTGTCAACAACATTTTGTTCAAAAAATTAAGTGTCTGTTAATTAAGTGTCTATATGGAATTGTATATGTATTACTTTAATTTTTATTTCTTGTACTTAAGTTGCAATGTATTATAGATCATAGTATTTTATGTGTGATTGATCAAATCATTTTGTCATATAATTCAATGGTAAACTAAAAATGTTTTGAAGTAATTGCTTGACTGTGATTTAAATAGGTTTTTGAAGTTTTAAAGTATTTCATTTTTACTGTATAAAGGGAGGGTTTACATTTTTGTTTGAACCATTTAGTGATTTTGCTTAAATTCAATGTAGTAAAAATTTAAAGAATGTTACACTGAAAATGTATTTCTGACAGGTACTTACCTTCACTCATACAAAAACTATCTCAATTATTGAGTGCTTTCATAGCATTGCTAAAAGAATTTTATTAATCAGCACACCAGTCTTTATACCCCACCAGTTTTGCACCATTTCTGAACATGTAAATATCATGTGACTACTCTCCACCAATAGTATTGTTTCACCTATAATGGTGCTTCTAGCTCCCTCTGCTATTTGTGCTCAATCCTCACTTTGGAGAATTGGTAGGTACTAGAATAAAAACACACTGGTTTTAGAGTGGGGAGGAAGGGTGAGAAGTGTATGAGAAGAGGTAAGTACCTATCAGAAATACATTTTCGGTGTAAGAAAATGTTAACTTCTGACACGGACTTAACTCCTCTCCCACAAAGACTAGAATCCCACACTGCAAGGGTGGAGAGCTATTGTAGACACACAAAGAACAGACTGAGGACCAAACAGAAAGCAACCACTCAGAATGAACAGGTGTGCTTGGAGATGAAAATGAAGCATACCTGTGGGGTACTACAATACTTCTGGAACAGGTATGCTCTTCACCCAGAAATTAGGAAAGTAATATAAAATGGGTGAAAAAGGTAATGCTTGCATAACTGTAAGTGTTAAGAAGGTGCAAGCTGTATGAACATGTAAAAAGAAAAAAAACAACAGTAGGTTATCGATACTCAAGAACCCCAACCATAAGTAAACAGAGTGCTGTATGTCAAGCAACCAGAATTACGAAAAGGAAGTGAGCAAACAGTCATTACTGGACAAACCCCCAAAACAAGAAGCAAGAAGTACAACAAACTGAACCCAGCAACAGTAAGAACAGGGAAAGCTGTAACCGGTATAATGGGTAAAATAAAAACTCACTCAACTGTAAAAGCCGGGTAAAAACATTCTGTATCCGGAATTACGAACAGGACAAACAGCATTTGCCTAACAGTAGCAACAGAGCACAGATGTCCCATTGCCAGTATTACAAGGCAGATGAAGTCTTTCAAGCCCAACTGTAGAAGCAGGAAAGAACCGTCTGCAACCAGAATTAATGAAAAGAGAGGTGTCTACTGCACACAACCATAGGAACCAAGCATTGTCATTCTGAACCTACAATTATGAGAAGTATCTAACATAGGCTGGCTGCAAATAATACTTGGTCAGTGTGTTTATTGAGTGAGGTCTGCCAACATTTGGGGGGAGTTCCAGTAAGGAACCAGTTTTGCCCTCTTCTGCTGAGTGGATAAATTAGCTTAGTTCTAGCAACACTCGTGTGGAAGCCTCCATGGTCCACTGTCCTTGCGACTGGGAACTGAGAGAGGTAAGGACTCTCATGCTCCACTCGAAGAAAAAGGGGTAAAAAGGCAGTGGGGAGTCCAGAGGAATGTCACACAGGAGACAGTGCAATGGGTGACTGTGTTTCTCTATTTTGAAAAGCAGACCAAACCTGATTAAGGAAGTAAGTGACCACAGTAGCGAGGTGGGAGTCTACCATCACCATCACCTCCACAGGAGAGGAAGGAGGTGGGACATGGCTCGAGAAAAGTGATGTAGATAACGACTCTTTGATTTGACCATAGGCTGGGAGTAGAGGTAAGAACCTCAGCCCCCTAAAGAGGAGTATGGGAACTTGTAAGGAGTAAGCAGCAATCCCGCTGTCGTCTGGACTCTTTTCAACCACCAAACCAGGGATCTGAGGAGAAATTCCATGGATCCAGGAGTGTTCACCAAAGGGAATGCAAATGAGTCTGACCCATGGAAATGAGAACTTCTCTGGAAGTCCACATCCCCAAAGAGATAGAACATATCTAGCCATAAAAAGGTGAGGGACGTGTGAACTGATCGCTCCAACCCCAAAGACAGAGAGGATAAGGCTGGGCTTGACTGAGGTTGGAAAGAAGAACCCCCCCAAATGAATGGGGTATTGAGAGGGGGTCAGAATGGATTTCTCCCTTGTCAAAAGGAAACCAACCCATTCTGCATCTTGTAGGAGCAGGGGAGTGTAGACCCTGGACTGAGAATGGGAGGAAGCAAGCAGGAGCCAGTCAAACTAGAGAAGGAAGAATACAAGATTCATGGAGTGAAAAAGTCTGGCAAAAGTTTGTATTCCCCGACAAAACACATAAAGAGCTGTCTAGGATCACGAACATAAGCAAAGAAACCAAAACTAAGCTCAGCTTTATGAACGGGAGAGAATTGAACATGACAGTGAAGTAACAAGGCAAATTTTTAAGTCCCACACTGACAAAAATTAGGAAAGGATGGCATAATTGAATACTCATTAAAAAAGTCAGATAGAACAAAGAATAGATATTACTAGTAGTAATGATATATAACATACCAACTATCAAAACATACCTAGTAAAAAAAGGACTAAAACATCAAATGGGAAAAGTATCAATATTTTTCTAGTCCACAAAGAATGTAAAAATCATGAACGTATTAACTGACAGAAATTCTCGAGAAAACACAATAATAATCATTATTTTAAGTTACCAGACAGAGAAAGTAACCTAGATGACAAGGACACAGAATTACATCATGCACTGACTAAAATTAAAAGAAGGTACATACTTAACAATAACGAAAAATATTTATTCAAAGAAAACAAAGAATTACTTGTTACTAGTAGTAGTGGTATGGAAGGTACAAATTAACCAAACATACCCAGTTAACAAATTACTAACATATGAAATGGACAAACTATCTAAATGTGCCCAGTCCACAAAGTATGTAATAAAAATGAAAAAATTTTGATTTGTAAATTCATGGAAACAAATGAAATCAAACATAAATATTAGAAATTCTTGAATAAACTTCATTGGAAATGCCAACAAAGTACAATCAAAAACTAGTCACACTCAGAAAAATTAAACACATGTCTAAACTGTGTCACTCTGATCGACAAAATGGGGTTGAGCAGGAATATCCAAGGGAGCTAGTTACGCTGTTACATAGATGGTGTAATACTATTGGTGGAGAGTAGTCATGTGATATGTACATGTTCAGAAATGATGCAAAACTGGTGGGGTATAAATACTGGTGTGCTCTTTACTAAAATTATTTTAGCAGTCAACAATCGAAATAGCTTTCGTACGAGTGGAGGTAAGTCCATTTCGGAAATATATATATATATATATGTGTGTGTATGTAATTTTTCCTTGTTTAGTTATTTCTTTTAAACAGTGGATTTACAAGATTTTAAACTACATTTCATGAACAGTCAAAACATGCAGTAAGAGTCTTTAATAATAACTTATGAACGTAACTTCGCTAACATTTTAATTTGATTAAAATCATTTAAAGTAAGAGCTTTAGTAATAACGATAACTTGTAATAATAACTAAAATCAAGTAAGTGAAAATTTGAATCAATTAGCTCTGATTAGAAATTAAAATACAATGCTATAAACCAGTTAAAAGTATTCATAATTAGAATGCATTGATGTGAAGTTGAATATTCTATCTGTCAGTGGTATTTTTTGCCCTCATTTCCAATAATGTCTTAAAAATAGTAGCTATCACAGGAAATTTAAGATATGTCTAAATGTTGTCACTGAGCCAACAATGAAAGTTAATGTTTCAAGTCAGGTAGACTTACCTCTAGATACCAAAAACCTTTCTTTCTTAACTTTACTTTCATGCTTTCACCAGTAATGTGACTTAGGCTCTGAATATCCTTGACACAATGCTGAGTACACATCAATTTACCCAGAGTTCTCTACTCTCCTACCTACCTCATGACTTTTGAATTGCATCAGGATAGTATACATAAGCCATACTTTTCTGACATTATCCAAATTCCTTAGTTACAATTGTGATGAAAAAATCACACATCTCTCAGTTGTAGAAGATGGGTGGGATTGTATTTTTGAGATAAGAACCTGTGCTGAAAGAGTTAAGTAGAACCAAGTATATGCAATAAGTCATGTGGAAGATAGGAGAGTGGAGAACTCTGGATATGTTGATGGATACTCTGAATTGGATCAAGGACAATTAGATCCTAATTCACATGATTGTTGACAACATGAGAGCAAACTTAAGAAATAAAAGCTTTTAGTATTTCAAAGGTAAGTACCTGTTTGAATGTTATTTTGAGTTTAAAAATGTAAAAATACTTAAGTAATTTGTTCTGCATTGCCTCATAAATAAACAAGGAAAATGGAGAAGTGGTAACTACAACATTGTCTGTTATTTACACAAACAGTTTAAAAATGCAAAAAATATGTATAATATGTTACTGTTTATTGTTTATATAGAATGAACTTAAAATTATTTAAAATTAGTGGCTGTTATGCAAATTTAATAAAATTCTATTACAAAAGTTGTTAAGGTACATGTTATCTACCATAGAAATATCTACAGTATAACTTCTGAACAATTCAAATAACCAACAAGACTGTTTTTCTGTGATCACTGATTGCATAACTTTGTGTATATATAAAATATTATTGGCATTTGCCATATGGTTTTTGTTTAGACTTAGTCAGGAAGTAAAAGAAGGCAAAGCCAGCAAAAGATTACAAATGGCGATACCTATGTATCTATATATCCATGTGCAGAAATGATAAAAATAGAAAGTTGACCCCATAAATTACCAAACACTCTGTGATAACAAATATTTAGCATAGCAGCTGTTACTAAACCAAAAAATGACGAGCAGCTGGAAATAAGAACTTGCTAAAAATTGTACTTATGTATATGAACTTCTATGCTTTTGTCAGTGTATAGAAAAGTAAATCAGATCTTTATATCTTGATTTTATCTTGGAAGGTTGAAATGTCAATAAGTTAATGCAAAAGCCTACTTACATTTTAAAATAAGTAAACTTATGAGACATAGATTGGTAAACTCCTTAAAAACCTTATAACAGACTCACAGTGTTTTTGAGTGTTTTGTGGTTATGGAAAGTACAACTTAATACAATTTTGTGCTTTAGGATATTTTTTTATTTGATTATTATTAAAGCCCTTATCTATAAATAATAACAGCGGTCTTCATCCAGTAATCTTCTGTTTCCTTACATTTAGTGTGTATAAATATGATTTGCATGTAAATTCAGTATGTCGTGGAAAAATAAAATACTTGTAGTTGGCACATTTTTTTATAGTAGTTTTGTGAACACTCATTCACCATCTTAAAATATGCATGGTTTTGTCTACAATAATAATTTCAGATGATTACAGTTAACCAAGAAAGCTTTATTTTTACCCATAGTTTCCTGTAGACCTTGATTAATAACAAAAAATGTTTTGTTAGTAAGATACATAGCTAATTAGTGTTGCTATAGACTGTGTTATTATGGGTTAAACAGATTGATTCTATGTATTAATAAATGAATAAGTTCTGTCAGAAAGATCTGAAAAATTTTTAGTATGAGATCTATCATCTGAATTGATCATATTCTATTACTAGAGTCTGAATTAACCATTACTAATCTGAGCATTGTAGGCTGGTCATACATATATTTTCCAATTGTCACAGGCCTTGATTAATAGGAAATTGCCTGAACCAGAATTTAAATTTTGCTTACTCATTGTGTGAAAAGAGTGTAAAATCAGAAAACTACCATTTTGTTATGAAAATATCATACAATCATAGTACCAAAGAGAGAGGGTTAATACAAGTAATTATAATAAGTTCTTAGTACAAGCAAAAAAACCCTAATTTAAGCTAAAAATATTAAAAATGAAATTTACTGTTATCGTAACTTTCTGTTGTTCTAATTATCTAACAAATTATTAGTTGCTATAGTATGATTTTAAATACTGATCATTAAGAGCTGAAAATCAGATACGATACTTATCATAATATGATATAAATCAAAAGAGAACTATAAGTTTATAAGGGTTACATTGAACTGAATTATGAGTTGTTTATTCTTTCCCTTTACCATATTAGCATCAATTATCTCAGTAATTTCATACATGGTTGAGCCATTGGGGAAAATTAATAAATGCAAATTAATCCTTATAAATGTAACTACAAAACCAGTGACACTTTGATAACAGTGCATAGTCATAATTACAAGTAAATTCTGCATAGCGGTAAGAGTACAAGATAGTTCATTTGTATATATAGTGTACTACATGATACACGTGAAACTGTTTTTTCTAAACTAAACTACCTTATAGAATGTGTACTATATGATACATGTGAAACTGTTTTTTCTAAACTACCTTATAGAATGTATACTATATGATACATGTGAAACTGTTTTTTCTAAACTAAACTACCTTACAGAATTACAACAATATATTAAGATGAATAAGCTTAGGTCTAGAGTGATGGGTATTTCAAGTATATTTATATATATATATAATATCTTATCATACATTAAACTACTTCTACAATATATAGTGATAAAATTATAGTGATTTTATGCCACCATCTTAGATTTCTTCTGTGTTTTATTAAGTTATGTTTTGATATGTAATCCTACAACACTCATCAACATTCTTCTACTGACTTTCACCATTATGAATGGGACATAATGTTCATTGACTGCAAATTATTATTAGCTTAGAAAAGTTATAGTTTTTTTTTGTATAGTTAAAACGTATTTTACTTAATAGAGTTTTTTTGTTTATAAGGTGATGACTCCTATGGAAGGAAGGTGATAGTCATTTCAGCATGTAAGCTGCCTTCAAACAAAGAACTTAATCATGCCAAGTTTCTCAGGTAAAGTTAGTTCTTAAACATGTACTGGAACTGTCTTAGGTTACTTAGTATTTTAAGATTATTTTATTATGCTAGTGCTTGAAACAGAGAAGGTAAAACTGGTGTCTCTTGTATATCACCTGCTATTTTATTAGTTTTATAACTTCATTGCTCATGCTTTCTATCAGACTTTGTCTTTCCTCAATTTTTGAGATATTTGGTTGATTTTCATTCTTTTCACATGTTCTTACTATTTATACACCACTTTTGCCAACAATTTTGCAGTTATCACAAATTCTGAAAGACTTGCAGTTGTTTCAGATAATGTATTCATTTCTTCTGCTGTTAAAATTTTGTGTTTACAAGTTCCTTATGATTCAAAAAAATATTTTAGAAATATTTATTAAATGATAAACGTGTTTCAAAAACCATGTTAAGAGTGTATATAAAATTACTGGAACATCTAACATGTATTCATTGTTTTAAATTATTTTATTTGCTTAGCTGATGAGTCTCAGGTGTAGTTATTAGTAAGGAAATTGATATTTCTGCTATTTTTCAAATAATATAATAAAATGGTTTAGATTAAATTCAGCACTGAAGAAAGAAGACACACAAGCTGATAAACAGGTTGGATTATTCTTGAAAGCTGGATATTTGAAATAGTGTACTAGATGTATGAAATTGTATGTGTTACCCCCAAGAAGATTATTTAATTAGGATAAAGTGAAAGTAATTTTGCCTTCACTCCTACTAGTAACAACATAGATATTAAAAGTAATATGATAAAAAAATGGGTCATTAAGTTGTAATCCATCACATTCTTTCCAGTAAAAACAGAAAGTACTGTATATCATGGCATATAAGTCAACCCCTTAAATCTAGGCAAAAAAATCCTATAATTTTCTGATCACTGTCATATAAGTCCCCTTTCTTGGAATAACATTCTGTCATTAAAAAAAATTATTTATATGCTGCAATATATGGTCACTTAAATTTGTTTATATTGAAATGTATTGTCTTTTCTCTGGTGACTTAAATATATAATTATCTTGGTTTTTATAACTGGAAACAAAAAACTATTGAAGTCATATCCTCTTCTGTAATTAGCCACTCTTCTTTAATATAGAAAAAAAATCTTGTTTTGTGATCTGTTTTCCAGGTACCTTATGTATACATTGGACCAATTTGTAGAAAGTGACTATACATTAGTATATTTCCACTATGGTCTCAACAGTAGGAACAAGCCATCTCTTAGCTGGTTATGGGCTGCTTATAAAGCATTTGACAGAAAGTAAGTTTAATTTCAGTGTATGCCATTTTTTAAATACAGACTTAGAACTATAGATATATGTGTTAATCTTAGAAGCATATCTTTTGATGCAGCTTAGTTTATCAAAATCCTTAATCCTTAATATTTGATATAATGAAAACTGTGATTATACAGATTTTATCAGTACAGTAACATAAAGTCATTTTGTTTATACATATGTTTCTTACTTATTTCTCACTCTTTTACATGTACTTAAAAGCATAAAGTTTTAAAACTACTGTATAGAAACGAATACGTAGGACTTAGAAGATACTGCATACTATAAACAGTTGATTTTAATATTTGAGTTAGCTGTTACTCTACAGTATGCAATAAATATATTCATTTCTACATATAATACTGGAAGCCTGTAATTCATTCAGTTATCCATAGTTTGTGACAGATCAAAATTTCATTTATTCACAAAGTGATTCCTTGTAAATTAAAATCTTGTTTATTTGAAAGGGATTTTGTCATTATCTTTCAGATATAAAAAGAATCTTAAAACCTTGTATCTAGTCCACCCTACCAATTTCATTAGATTTGTATGGCAGATTTTCCGACCTGCTATCAGGTATGTTAATTACATATGTATATATATGTATAACATTCCTTTTATGCATATGAATAAGTACATGTCACAGATGAGTATTATAGATTTAATGTTAATATTGTAAGAAATAATTAACCAAAAAGCCTGATGAAAATCCTGAAATAATCATAAAAGTTTCTTATTTAAAAAAACTATAGTGTTGTGAAACAAGTTAGTTTGTTTTTTCTGTACTTTAAGATATTCAATCCTTTAGTTGTAACAGCTTAGTTAGCCACATTTTTCCTGGAGTTTTTGATTAAAGTTCTGTAGAAATACTTAATTGTAACTGCTGGTAATTTGAAATTTGGTAAGATCTTGTTATTTGATAAGAGGTTGCTAGTTGCCCATTGAAGAACTGTAAAAATACTTATTTATAAGCTCTAGTAACTTGAAATTTGGAAATATCTTGCTGTATGATAATCTGTTACAATTTGCTAGTTGAAGCTGTGAAGAAAGTATTCAGTGATTTAAGGTCCAACCAAAACTACACGAATATGTTTGAACCAATGTTTGTGTATTTCCTATCAGTGTGAAGTTTGGAAAAAAAGTCATGTATGTCAATTACCTTCATGAACTGAAGAAGCATCTTCATTTTGAGCAACTAGCCATTCCAAAAGCTGTCTTAGAGTAAGTATAAATACTGTATATTCACCAATATTTCAACAGACAAACATTCATCCTGCTCTCTTGTATGTTTTTTTTAGCATTACAAATATTCTTCTTATAGCTTCTTCTAGGAAATTACGAAATTTTTATAATTAAAAATTATAATTTAATTAATTGTTATCACATTTATTAGCCTATATGATTACATAGGTTTAATTAATAATTGTTACTATTTTATTTATTATTAGAAATATAAATTCCCGATAAGTTTATGTTCTTTGTTTCAGTTGATAATCAACCAGTTATCAGCGTAAATGTATTATATTAACTAATTTATATCTGATAATAATAATAATAAATTTAACTATTTCATAAATTGTAATAGTGATTGATAATCAGTTGCCACAACCTTACCATAATTACTTGTTGTAATTAATACATATCACATAAAGTAGTAACATGAATAATGTCAAAGGCTAGTATGATACATAACACATTTTTAATACCATTCTATTTTGTCAGTGAATCAATCGAATGTTAAATTTTGTGATGATTTTTTTTTTATTTTGTATAGTTGATTTCTTATTAATAGCATACAACAGTTGTATTAACACATTAACCATGTTTATTGTAATAATTATTAAGCTCAAAATTTATGATGTATGACAAACCTAATGTTATGCATGTAGTAATGAATTAGACCATTATAAACGTTTTATCCTCTTTTTTTTTTTTGAAACAGTAGAACATAAGCCGACCATATTTTTGTTGTATTAAAATTCTGGGTCAGTTAAGTAAAAAATGAAATGAAAATGCCCTCTATTATTTTGTAAGATTTTTAAGTGATGATTTAGTTTTAAAAGAAAAGGAAATGTTACTTAAAATTGAATAAGGAAAAGATTGTTATTCATTACACGATATTCAGGTTATTAGACTTATTGACATTATATCAAGAAAATGTTACAATTTTAATCAAAGATAAGGATGACACTTCTAAGGTAATAGAAATTTGTGTTTACTCAAACACTGGCAGTTGAAATATGTAACCTTACATGAGTGGGTGTCTTGTGGTCTGTAACATTCTTCTAATTTTATGTGTGAAAACAATATAAGTTGGTAATTTCAACTTATTTGTGCTCTTTCTGTAGTTATGACAATCAACTTAAAGCAGTTAATAAGGGAACATCAACCTGGTTTCCAAATTCACCTAGCAGTAGCAGTTTACATCTTCCAGGGCCTGTGTATGATACACAACAGTTTCGGGTTCCACTGTCTTTGTAAGAAATAGTTTATCTAGATCAAAAAAATCTGGCTCTATAATCAATTTAATGTAGAATACATCTTTCCTCTTCTAATTTATTTGTTCTAAGCAATTTGAATCTTTTTTTCAACTAAAACTGAAGATTTTTTTAATACATTTTTTAATACATCAAAATTTCAATACTTTTTTTGTACTTAATGAATACAAAGCTAGCAAGTTTGTATATATTAATTTAAATATTTTGTTTGAAAGTTTCAATTTAAGTAATGGACATATGATCTTTATGCAATAGAATAATGTCAAAAATAAGCTGAATATAATTCTGAAACACACCTCCGCTCACACTTATCGTGATGAAAGGTTCTCTTCTTTGCCCATCTAAGCAATGGTATGAATTCTACCTCACTTGCTCCAGTCTTTATTGAATTGACTCCATAATTCCAAGTTCAGTTTGTTGCATTCTGAGCTTCTTCATGTTGGGGGAAAGACTTGCCCATTTGGATGTTGCTTGCCTTCCCTTTGTAATTCCAGTGGCTTGTATGCGACATTTTGTAGCTTTCAGATAGGGTGCTTGGACCCATAATTCTGAGTTTGGTTTGTTGCATTTTGTGCTTCTCTAGGATGGACTGAGGGTTTGTCCACTTAGGTGTTGCTTGCCTTCTCTTTGAAATTCCGGTAGCTCGACATGCAACATCTTTTAACTTTTGGGTTGTGTACCCTTCATATCATATTTCTATTATATAATTATATCGTATTGTGGTCCCCATGCCCTAGCCACTTCACCTTGGATCTCGCTTTGAGTCCACAGCCCTGTAATTCCAACGACGAGATGTGGAACCTCGTCTTTGTGGTTGGGGCCTGGACAAATCTTATGATAATGAACAATGTTGACTCTGTAGCTGGTTGTCCTTTACTGTCCACATTTATATTTCACTTTATCTGGGCGAAGAGCATACCTGTTCAAGAAGTAGTGTGGACTCCCACTAGTGTGCTTTATTATATCTCTTTCTGTGTGGATCTTGCCCTCATCAACATCTTCACCTGGTCAGCGTGAAAGGAGGTTAGTGTGTTTCGGAGCTTAAATTTTTTTATACTGAAAATGTGTTACCTTCTCTCACACTATTCTGCACTTCCTCCCCACAATAGCCAGTGTTCAGGTCTGATAATCTTGCCAGTCTCGAAAAAAAGGGAATAAGAAAGAATAATGGGGAGCTTATATATGGATTGGATATAGAGGGCACCTTGATGTAGGT